ACCTTTGGCGTTTTAGGGTTATTCCCGCGATGCACGCCACTTCACAAGTTCTAGAGAAGTCTAGAGGGTGTTGCCACTTATCTTTAGGTAAGGAATCAGGCTCGTTGCCTGCTACAAGGCCGTCCTGAGGTCACGCTACTAAACGATTTATCGTCTGCCATTTGCCCGACGAACTTGTAGATGTGGAAATTGACATTTCTGGTAAGAGAAATAGAGGTTTCGGAGGCAGAGGGAGTTAGCAAGTCAGCGCAGCTCAAGCCAAGGTTTTGCGTACGCGTATCCCGTGTAGGTAGTGCGGCCCCCAGCACCTTTCACCTTCCTTTTCTATGCTCAAGCCCACAGCCCACTACTAACCAGATCCTAGATTTAGTTATATCTATACTACATATTTAGTATTTTAGGGAATCAGCCCGTTGCCTCTACAAGACCGTGCTGAGGGCCAACACCAAACCATAATCGACTGCCATTCTCCCCAACGACCGTGTAGCTGTGGAAAAGTTTGTTCACGTGAATTATTCTCAACAAACCTGAGTGAGAATATTTAGTGTATGAGATTATTTATCAACTTAGATTAATTACCGTGACCACTGTAGCCATGAACGGAAAATCTCTGAGAAAACAGCGCACCTCCTATCGAAATCTGGAGTATCCAAAATGGTCCATTCGCTTCGTGAAGATCTCCATCGAAATAGAGCGTCGACGGGGTCCGTTAACTCGCCGAGGTCAGGCTCAAATTTGAAGGAGTCAGCTGGCCAGTTGAGAGTGTAAACGCGTCGTCTGACCATAACAGTGACTCTTCCCTAGAATGGGAGATATCACAGGGTTCCAATGCTGAATTCTACACGGACGACGAAACCATCAACAAGGCACGGATACCTCGCGAGAAGGTGGTTCTACAGGAGTTTATCAGTCGGGGAGCGTTCGGAAAAGTGTACAAAGGAACATACAACGGCCAATTCGTGGCAGTGAAGACGATGAGCGACGTGGATTCGTTTGTCAAGGAGGTCAAGTTGGCGAGCACCATGAGTCATCCGAACATTGTGCAGCTCATTGGTGTGGCGTGGGATTATCGAGAAGATTTTTGCTGCGTGATGGAATACATGGACGGAGGGGATTTACGAGGCTTGATGGACAAATACGAGGACGAGAACCGTCGGACAGGCTTCGACGCTGCCAAGATCACGATCGCGCTGCATGTCGCTCATGCTCTGGCCTATTTGCACTCTCGAGACGTTCCAGTAATTCATCGCGACTTGAAGTCGGAGAATATTCTGCTGAACGAAGCGCTGGGAGCCAAGTTGACGGACTTTGGCGTCTCTCGGGAACGCGTAGACAGAGCGATGACTGCAGATGTGGGTACATCACTTTGGATGGCTCCGGAGGTGATGATTGGGAATGCGTACGATGAGAAGGCAGACATGTTTCGTTTGGAGTGGTACTTTCCGAGCTGTCAATGCATTCGTTACCATACTCGCATGTGAAACGTCCTGGTTCCAATCGGCAGCTAATCACTTTGGTTATTCTCCAACGAGTCGCGAGCGGATTGTTAAGCGTGCAGTTCTCAAAATCTGACCCTCAAACGATGGTACGACTGGGTCTCTCGTGTGTATCGATGGATCCTTTAAAGAGACCAACAGCAGCTGAAGCAGTGCGTATACTTCAGGTTGCTTATATGCAGGAGCCATAAAGTAAAGTTAGCTACTACGTAGTACGATATTGCTGCGGTGTATTTTGCATACCACCGTCTCAACGCTACGCAGAAACTTTACTGTCTCGTCATCGATAAGTTTGATTTTGCTTTCGCCGCAGCCTTTCAAATGGAAAGTTACTCTAGCGGGGTGCTATTTACTTTTAAGTAAATTTTACTGGCTTCTGATTACTTCTGAGTAATTATAAAGGCACGTTAACTTTTAGGAAACTAGGCTCCGCGCCCAAATAGTCGAGCCTGTATTTCGAAGTGCAATATTAAGGTTACGATGACTGAAGATGCAGGACAAAGCCAAGAAGAAGCGGTCAATTTATGTTGTACTTCGTAATAAAATATTTGATCTGCTATTATGGAACAAGCCAGCCAGTCAACCGAACTTGATATCAACTTGATAGCAAGACGTGGTCTTCAGCAAACGCACATAGCGCTCACCGACACTGATAGTATCAAGACAACCACGAGGTGCCAGCGCTGAGCACCGAACGCACCGTTCTCAACAGGTCAATCCCCTCTTGTGTAGCGAGAGTATAATAGTCTTGACCGTAGTCACGCGCTCGTTTCGTCCTTCCCGCCGCACAGTAGACGCTGATCTCCATCGTTCGAAAGGACCAGCTCAAATTTAGCTGGCATAGGTTTTGAACTCTCCCTCGTAGATTACGACGTAGAAAAAAATGCCGCCTTCTTTACAACTGCTTATTATACGGCAACCAAACAGCTTACACGGGAATATTAAACGGCAACCAAACAGCTTACACGGGAATATAAAGAGCACGTTTCTCATCAATTGTCGGTGGCTGGCGGCCCTCATATTTTCTCGCTCCCTAGATAATGATCTTTGACGAATCCAATACTGAAGTCGCATATACTTGCCGGTAACCTGTTGTATCCGATAGTATATAGTTCCTGCCTTTGACGCTCACGAGAGGATCTCTTGGCACACTCAATTTCACGCACAGGCACCGAACCAGCTCGCATGAAATTGGGCATCGAATCTTGCTGGCGTATTTGAAAGTAGAGTAAACCCTTATTGTTACAGGGCTCTTTGCCCTACATGCACTACAATTATGTAAATTCATGGAAAAAGACGGTAGTTTTCTGTTTTTGGCAATGTGCAGTTTTGTTTTTGCACTATTGATTGTATTTCACAGTTTATTGAACGAACTGTTTCGCCAACCATTTGTACCAATATGGTGGTACATTGTTCGTAACTCCAAACACGCCATTCGGAAGACCACCACAACGATGAAGTCATCCGTGCAGGCGTTGCTGCTCGATATGGACGGCGTGTTGGCCGAGGTGTCCCAGTCCTACCGCCAGGCCATCATCGACACTGCGCGTCACTTCGGCGTGCCTGTCACGCACGAGGACATCGACCGGCACAAACTGGCGGGCAATGCCAACAATGACTGGCAGTTGACGCACCGTCTGGTCCTGGACGGTCTTAACAACGCCAGAGCTGCCCCCACACTAGAAGCAGTCACGGCTCAATTCGAGGCTCTGTATCAAGGTGTGGGCAACACTCCGGGTCTGTGCGAGCTTGAGACGCTGCTCACGCCCGAGGGATTGTTGCGTGAGCTGCACCGTCGTCTTCCCAAAGGCATGGCGGTGGTCACGGGACGACCTCGCAAGGACTGCGTCAAGTTCTTGACCGCTCACGGCATCGAGGACTTGTTCCCAGTGCAGATCTGCATGGAGGACTGTCCGCCTAAGCCATCACCGGAGCCCATTCTTCTCCACTCAAGGCTCTGGGCTCGAGCCCCATACGCCGCCATGGTTGGAGACACCGTG